AACTACACTTTTGGTCCTCCTAATTTAGTGTAGGAGCAATTTTGGTCCTCATAAATTGAATTACTTAATTTTGGTCCATAAATTCAAATAATGGGCAATTTTAGTTCCACAGACAATTTACCATCCAAAATTTAACAGACGTTAATGATATGGATTTTATGCTAAATAAATACTAATTATACATTATTTAATTTCTTACGTGTCAAATTATTTAATATTCAAAATTTAAAAATTTTAGTTTTCTCATCCTCCGTACCCTTCCCTTTGTTTCTTCACCAGCACCCTCATATAAATAAAAATTATATTTGAATATATAAATTATATTTAAAGTTGTATGAATAGATAATTTTAAACATATAAATTATATCTTAAATTTAAAATAAACTAGTATTTTAATATGTGCAATGTACATATTATATAATTATTATATATAGTTAAAATTTATAGTAAATTATATATACAAATAATATTATGTTTAAATATATAAATTATATTCAAAATTTATATAAATAGATATTATTAAATATATAAATCATATTTAAAATTTATGATAAATAATTTATATTATAGAATTATTTTATTTATTGATAGTTTACTTTAAAAAATTAAAATTAATTCATAAATAACTATGATAAATAAAAATTGAATTGAATAAAAAGTTTAAAAAATTCTAAAAATCCTCACATCAAAGAAAAACTCCTAAAAATGTTATCGCACAAGATAAAAATTTATATTTAATATAAAGAGACTGATAATTTATATTGTGGGATTTTTTTCATTATTGGTAATTTATTTGAAATTACTAAAATTTAATTTATAGATAAATATGGTAAATAAAAATTAAATTACATAAGAAGTAAAAAGAAATCACTAGAAATTTTCTTGTCAAAATTATTTTAAAAATATTAAATTCTAATCCGTAGTTAAATATGATAAAAAAAATTTAAATTGTATAAAAGTTCAAAAATCTCTAGAAACGTCTTTGTAAAAGAAGTCTTTAAAAGCATTCTTGCATAAAATAGAAGTTCGTATTTAATATATAGACTTAACTACACTTTTGGTCCTCCTAATTTAGTGTAGGAGCAATTTTGGTCCTCATAAATTGAATTACTTAATTTTGGTCCATAAATTCAAATAATGGGCAATTTTAGTTCCACAGACAATTTACCATCCAAAATTTAACAGACGTTAATGATATGGATTTTATGCTAAATAAATACTAATTATACATTATTTAATTTCTTACGTGTCAAATTATTTAATATTCAAAATTTAAAAATTTTAGTTTTCTCATCCTCCGTACCCTTCCCTTTGTTTCTTCACCAGCACCCTCGTCAGCAACGTCGTGTACTCCTCCAGCACCTCCGCCACGATCGCCACCAGTATCATCTCTTTCTAACAATCACTACGAGAATTTTTTACTGAAATAAAATTTTTAAATTTTTTTTTACCAAAACAGCACTTGTTCCAATTTATTTACAGAAGTAGTACCTTTTACTGTTCATGCTCAGAATTCGGTTCCCGGGGAATCAAATTCTGAGTAGTGTTTAAATTTTTTTTTCTTTTCTATTTATAGTTCAGGTTGTGTGTTAATGTTGCAACTGGAACGGCCCGTTCTCCAAGCAGAACAGGCCGTTCTACTTGCACGCGTAGTCTATTAATTTTGAAACTGGAGCGTCCAAGCAGAATCGCCCGTTTTGATCCATTCGTCATGTGTGTATTTTTGCATCTGGAACGGCCCGTTCTAAAAGGAGAATGGGCCGTTCTGCAAGTGCTGCATGGAGCACGGTCTGTTCTGAAAGGAGAACGGGCCGTTCTGGATGCAGTTTTACATCATGCTTAGATCTAAAACGTGAAAAGAAAAAAAATTCTATTTTAGTGAAAAAATTTCACTGCGATTGATATCAATACCCTTTTCATTTTGTTTTAAATGTTATTTGAATTTAAGATTTTTAAAATTTGAATATTAAATAATTTGACACGTAAGAAATTAAATAATATATAATTAATGTTTATTTAGCATAAAATTTACATCATTAACGTCTATTAAATTTTGGATGGTAAATTGTTTGTGGGACTAAAATTGTCCATTATTTAAGTTTATGGACCAAAATTAAGCAATTCAAATTATGAGAACCAAAATTACTCCTACACTAAATTAGGAGGACCAAAAGTGCCATTAAGCCTAATATATAATAGTTAATTTTTTTATTTATCAGAAAACATCATATTTTTTAACTTAGTACCGTATTAAATTATCTATAATAATTGTATATCTTTAATTTATATCAACGCTTAATCCCTATATATTAAACATTAATCTCTATCTTGCGTGAGGGTGTTTTTAAAAAATTTTCTTCAGTGAGAGAGTTTATAGAAATTTTTTTAACCTCTCATCTAATTAACTTTTTTTTAATATTTTTTTTAATTATTAAAGTAACCTGGGCCGATTTTTATTTATCAAAGTAACCCATTTTTGAGGCCCAAGTGAGAAATTGGTTACTGGATAACTGATTTCTCAAAGGGAATTTTAAAAAAATTTGAAAATCCCTTTGAGAAGTTGGTTACCCAATAACCGATTTCTCAATTGGGTTTTTTTTTTCAGATTTGTTTTTTTTTTTCCTTTTTCAGTTTTTAATATTCAGATTTAAAAAAAATTATAATTAATTTTTAAAAAATTTATTTAGTTTTAATTTTTAGATTATAAAAATTCTATTTAGTATTTAAATAAAATAATTTTTAAAGAATAAAATTTAATAAAATTAATATTAAATAGAATTTTAAATAAATAACAATATTATTATAAATCACAACTTTAAATAAAAACAACTTTAATTGAGATGAAGTTAGACAACTAATGTTATATGATTTAGGTTTTATGTTATTTATCTATTATGTTTGAAGTTTGTTTAAATTGTGTCTTTTTTTAAAATTATTTTCATTTTAATGATGTAACTATTATAATTCGTATACTTAATATATAATGTCATTAATATTTAATAAAATAATATTTTCATTTATGTAATAATCAATTTAATTATCTTTAATTATTAATACAAATTCAATATATTTATTATTATATTACAGTTTTCAATTTTCTATATTTAATAAATTTAATTTAAATAATAAAATCAATTTTATAATTCTAAAATTTAGTATAATAAATAAGTTTTAACATTTTCTTTATTTTTAACATAAATTTAAAATATTATACAAAATTTTATAATTTTATA